ATCAAACTGCTCCGAAGCACAAGGTGACCACTGGAAGCAGGTCCCATCTTTCCAGCAAGCAGGCTACATCTTCTGTTGGGATGGCGCTGGGGGACTGTGACCTGCTGCTGCGTCTGTCCTGGAGACAGGTGGCTCCAAGAATGTTTCACCAGAGCTTTGCACTAGTGCAAGCCCTTCGTTTCATGCTTATTACTGACCACCATCACTGGCTACTTCACCTACAGGGAAGATGGGCACAAGGCTCTGATGAAACACTGGATCCACTGATTACGACTACAGGGAAGGCCACCCTTACTGCAGGAAACTAATAATAGCAAAACTTGGGAAATACAGCCATCTCTTCAACCTGCCACAGACAACACAGACATGGAAAGCGTAAGATTTGCAATAATTTGCACAATTATAAGTGCATACATGCCAGCACCTCCTTCATCCCTCCATTCCCTTTAATTCTTGCATCCCTTCTTGTGCCTTCTCACGAGATATCATTCATGTTAGGTCAGGTCTACACTGAATAATTGGCCCAGATCTTGGCATTCACCTCCTGCTCATCCACACAGAATAGCCTCTGACCCAAGCTTGGTGCAAGCTGGATTTTGGCCCAGAAGCACTGACTGGGACAGGATGGTGAAAGCAAAGCCAGCGGACAGCTGACAGTCCACCAGTAACTTCCCAAAGCCCCATAATGACTTTTTCCACAGCTGACAGCAAAGGAATCCCAGTGTCCACACAAAAATACGATAGAAAGCCAAGGGCGAAGAATGCGTCAGCCCTAGGCCAGCAACGCTGGCTGCCTTCTGCAGTAAACCTGTGCTACAGCAAAGCTATCCAAGGACGTCAGACTGACCTGTCAGCTGAAAGCCCAACCACCCTGGCTGCACACCAGTCCAGCCCATCTGCTCCATACCTCCAGCGCACGGTCCGGGTGCCTGCTCCAGGAAGGGACACAGCCACGCACCAGATCCCTCCACCGCCAGACGGATCGGTTACACTATCACACACACGCCAACAGCAGCGGTTTCCATTTCAAGCCTTTTGATAATGAATGCTTCTGCCTACAGATAAGCAAACTTGTTAAACTATGCTACAAAACCCATCCTTTCAGGCATACAGAACAGATGAGCTGGAGGGAAAGGTAGCCAGACAGGGATATCTCTATTGCCTGATGAATGTAGGATGCCTCCCCCAACCTTGAATTTAACCTTGCAAAAGCTGGAAGTATCACCTTAACTACAGTAGCATTGCAGGCTTACTGAACCGTAGCAAAGCATTAACAAACTTCCTGGTTTACATCGTTTCAGCCTCCTGCTGTAGGGCTGAAGTCTGATCTCTGCTGTACTTTCCCAAACGGTGCCTGTTTGAAAGCTTTTGCATATGTATTCCAGGACATGCAGATCGATTAGAAATAGGAGGCGAGGGGGGAAATAACCAACTAATCCCCAGCCCTTTCCTCAGAATGTAAAACCATCCAGAAATCAAATAGCCCTTGGGGGTAGCTGTCAATTCCAGTTGACTGGGCTGAATTAACCAGGAATACTTCGCATTTATTTGCATGATATTTGTGAATAGAATAACCCCCCTTTCAAAAGTTAAAAATATCTCTCTCTACACATACAAATTAAAAAGAGAAGAAACTAGAGGCAGGCTGTTCCCATGTTCTGGGACATGTTTCCATGTCGATGGTGCACAGTAAGTCAGGACGAAGTGACTCAGCTAATTCATGCCCTGAAGCATGTGTTCAGACAACTGACACAGGCAGTCATACCAAATAACCCCTCTCAAACCCACCGGCCGGGTCAGGCTCTCCTCACTGCAAGCGAGCCTTTGATCGTGGTGGGGCTTGCTTTCACCATCAGCTGGCAAAGCAAGGCACCTCTGAATACAGAAGTGTCCGGGTGGCCTTGGTCATTTAAAAGTTGTAGCATCCAGTAATTTTCTTCTGCCGGTGTTACAGATGGGAATTCAGGAGTGGAGGTTATCACAATGTGCATACCAAGCCTTGCACGTTGACACCAATGAGCAGGACTGTGAGGAAGAGCTGGGTTTGGAGGCAGGCTCAAGGCAGTGCAAAGAACAGAGGGGTCAGGGTGCTGTTCTGAACAACCTCAGGTCCCACCAGGGCTAACAGCTACCACTGAAAGCACTTCTGAACCACTGAGCCAGCAGGCTAGGGAGAAAGGGTGCATCACGCTTGTGGTCAGCAAGGACGGAGGCCAGCTAACAGGGCAAGGAGAAGGCCTCCAGGCAGCGCCGAGAGCTGCGCTACAGCAGAGCAGGAGCCACACTGGAGTCTGACACAAGAAGTCAAGTCTGGAGTAGCAGAAGGAGCCAAGGGCCACCAGCACAGCTGCGTGGGGATCCCAGGACTGAAACAACACATGATTGACAGCTTCTCTTAGAAATGCGGTACACAGCCAGCGTGGCACAGAGGAGCAGGATGGGAACAGCAGAGCGACCGATGTCACTGCTGACGTGCCACGGAGGAGTAGTGCCAGGAGAAGGTTGAATACGTCCTGTTCTCATGATGCCAGTACTGCATCAGATCTTTGCACACCCATTTCTGTGAGCTTCAAACGTTTCCTGCAACTGTCATTGACTCTTCCCAGGTTAATAGAGGGGCCTTCACCCCCTGCCCTGGGGTCAAAGCGCGATCCTCCACTACAAGAAGTCAAAGGGCTGTCCGACTGTGAAGTGGCACCAAGGAATGGAAGAACAAGCTCAGAGTTTGGAAGAGCCAGGTGGAGTGAGAGGCTCTTCACCATTCCTCACATCTGGGCAAAAGGTCCCGAAGCCAGCAAGCCACAAGATGGTAGCGCCATGAAGACTGGGCATCCCACCCAAGGCTGGGAAATCTTCCAAGTGCTCTGCAAGTGCAGCACTGCTGCAAAGAGGCATCACAGCAACAGCACCGGAGAAGCACAGCTCAGAACAAGGGCAGCCACTTCTGTGAGCCAAGGTCCTGCAGCCCAGCTCAGCTAGAATGGTGCTACAGTGGGCCACTTGGACCTGCCCCCTCCTCCCCACCACCACCACCTTGGGAGTGAGTGTATCCAACAGCAGCCAAGCCCAGCATGGATACTCTTCGAAGTTTAACGTGGCCTTCATTCAACTTGGCTTCCTTCGCTTCCAAAGCAGATTAAGCTATGGTAATTAAAGCTCTTTTAACTTGCAAAGTTCAATTGGATTCATTTTCCTGTGCACCCCCCTGGGAGACAGCCCTGACAAGCTCAGGACCAGGAGCAGCACAGAGGAGGGTGCTTCGGTCTGATGACCAGCCCATGCAGCAGCCGAGCTGCCCAGATAGCTAGGGCACCTGTAATCGCACCTCCTTAGGGACTGACGGGAAGGGGCTGTCTGGGGCCATACGAGGATCAGGCACTGGGCAGGGATATGTACAGCTTCAGGCTTTTAAGCATTTCATGTCAATACACAGCAAGGACTAAAGGAACAATGTGCAGAGAAACACCTCCTACCTACAGCTTCAAAGAGTTGCTGCCTGCTGTATCAAGGTGACGCTGAGTAGGGGGTGGGGGACACCAGCAAGCCAGCAGCAGCTGCTTTTCTCTTCTCCTTAAAGTAAAAATAATGGGCCCTTCTCCCTTGTGGCCCACATGAATATTTCATCAGCAAACTGCCTCATCTTATATTAGATTTTTTCCCTCTCTGTCTGAGATGGGAGGCTCCAGCCTACAGATCCCTCCACAGCCTTTCCAGGAGGAGCTGAGGATATTTTGGGCATACAATCAAAGTGCTGGGGACAGCCACAGCGATCTCAGTATAACAGGATGGAGGCTTCAAGCAGCTCTGTGCCTTTGGGAAGCAAGCGCCCCGCTCACTCGTATGACAGTACTTGGATATCCCATGAATGCTGGTGAGGCAACGCCATGTCCTGCGTGTACAGGATGAACAGGTTCCCCATCCATCACCACCGAGAGAGCAAGCAGAGTCTGCCCCTCCAGCCTATGCCTCACTGCAAGGGCATCTGAGCACTGTTCCTCTGCATCTACAAGTCTCTCGCTCTGTTTGGGCACGGGAAGCATGAGGGAGAAGACACATGAAATCCCCAAGATCAGACATTGCAGCTTGAACATATCCTCTGCTGGCTTCACTTGTAATAAGGCCTATTTCAAAGGAGGGCAGGCTCACAGTAAGAGAAGAGGACTGGGAATTAGATGTGCTGATATGCTTTCCTTTCTGTCAAAGGCCCAAGATCCAGGCCCTGCTGGAGTGGACGGCACTGGCTACACACCACCAGCTCCCCTGGGTACCATTATAAAAGCCATTCCCTCCCCTGCCCCTTTTTCAATTGACAGGGCTTTTTACACAGGCACTGCTCAGGCCCTTCCTGGCTCAGCCCACCTCTCCCCAAACAGAAAAGGAAAATAATCCGTTTTATTTTATAGCATTTTTGGAAGAGAAAAATTGGTTGATTTTTTTTTTTTTTTACTTAAAAAACCCTGCCAAGAGACCCAAGAAAGCCTCAGGGAAACACCTGAGGAAAGATCTGAAACGCAGGAAGAAGGGCAGTAATGCACTGAGATCTAGCCCTCCAAATACACGAGCCCTCCTGAACACAACATCTATGTCAGCCTCTCAACAACCATGTTGGCAGCGGGCCTCCAGTCAAAACGACAACCTGTTTGGGAAAAACCCTTAAAAGCAGTTTCTGTTTTGACCGCTGTTCCTAGCGGGACCCTCACCGCCAGACAAGTCTGCAACTGGACAATGCCGTGTCTCCAGCTCAGGTTCTACTTGTGTTAAATGGGAACAAAGCCAATCCATCCCGTCCTACAGGACTCCTCAGGGGAGACAGAGGGAAAGCTACAGACCAAGGGAGAAAACCAGGATCCAGTGTATCCTAAAGGAGAGACAGGCTATCCCAAGGGAGGCCAGAATCACACAAATGAAAAGCATAAAGGGAACAAAGAGGGTCAGCACCCACGTGATAACAGGTAACCACAGACAGGCCCCCAGGGCTGTGGATGATCCCCTTTGCTCACCTTTTTCTCATCTCCCTCTTGCAGGAGCTGGAGGTGGCTCCTCTTCTCGCTGTCCTTACGGAGGGAGCTGTTCTGATGGTGTGGCAGGCCCATCGGCGGGGACACGCTCCGGCCCTGTGGGTCCACCCAGGTGTAGATGTGGTTGGTGACATAGCCCCCTGGGATGCGTCCCACTGAATGTACAGACAGGTTCAGCTTCTTGCAGCCTTTCAGTACCTGGAAGACAAGCCAAGGAGAGGTGGGAGTTAATGCCTACGGAGCAGGAAGGACAATCTGCCCTAGGACTCTGGGATGACATGGCTTTGCTCTTCCTTGAGGTTGAAAGATCTCAAGCTACTCTGCAACCAACTGAATGACTGAGCTACATAAAAAGCTAGTGAAAGAGCTGGAATTTTTCTATTCTCTCCTGAACAGCAGCAGTGCTGACAGAGAAAACACGCTCTCCCCATCGGCCAGGGAAAGAGCAGAGTGAAGCAGAGTAAGGGAGGCAAGGCAGGTAGTGATGTGCCAGGAGGAACCCCAGTATGGGCTGAACCTGAGACTCAGCAGTTTCTGCAGCTTTGGAGAGGAGTCAGAGCAGGACAGGGATCAATGCTGGAGCAGAGCAGCACTGCTGGTCCCCACAGCTCGGCCCCAAACTCCACCATTGGAAAAGCTCCTGATGCCTTCAAGGGGACATTGACAACGCTCCCAGAAATTCAGCCCCTGTTGCCATTTCATTACCAGCTGCCTTCCCCAGCACAAGCAGTCAATTAATGAGTACAATAATTACTAAATATATACATATATTTAAAACAGCATGCACAGAGATGACCTTGGGACCCAGATAAGGTGATTTGCAATTGCTTCTCTGCTCCTCCAGCTTTCACTGTGAGGAGCTGACATAGGCTTTACAGTAAACTTAAATTAACGTATAGGAGTTCTCCCTGGGGACAGATGTAAGTGCTGATCCCTTCTGAGGCCTCAGGAACATCAACGCTCGGGATCTGCTCTCAGAAAGGAGGTGCTTTGGGGTTTTTTTTTTCCATATATATGTCCTTTTGATGAGCTGCTCCTGCAAGGTCTCCTCTCCCCACTCAGCAGAGAAGCTGCTGAGCAAAGCTTGTGACCAGGAAGAACTAATACCGGCAGCTCTTCAGTAAAGAGTGTCCTGGTTTTGGCTGGGATGGTTAATTTTCTTCCTAGTAGCTGGCATAGTGCTGTGTTTTGGATTTAGCATGAGAATAATGTGATAACACACTGATGTTTTAGTTGTTGCTAAGCAGTGCTTATACCAAGTCAAGGACTTTTCAGCTTCCCATACTCTACCAGAGAGGAGATGCACAAGAGCTGGAAGGGTGCACAGCCAGGACAGCTGACCCAAACTGGCCAAAGGGATATTCCATACCATATGATGTCGTGCTCAGTATATAAGGTGGGGGCAGTTGGCCGGGGGGCAGTAATCGCTGCTCAGGGACTGGCTGGGCATCGGTTGGCAGGTGGTGAGTGGTTGCATCACCTCTTGGGTTTTTTTTTCCTTCCTGGGTTTTGTTCCTCTCTCTCCCTCTCTCCCCCTCGTTGTGTTACTTTCTATTATAATTTATTATTGTTGTTATTATTTCAAGTATTAACATGTTCTTATCTCAACCCACGAGTTTTCTCACTTTTACCCTTCCAATTCTCTCCCCCATGCCACCAGGAGTGGGGGGAGGGTGAGCAAGCGGCTGTGTGGTGCTTAGTTGCCGACTGGGGTTAAACCATGACAGGAGTCATATCGTCAGTAATACTGGGCTGGCTGGATCCCAGCTCTGACTTGGCAACAGTCCTGTCCCTCCCTGCCAGAGCTAGAGAGAATCCAGCTCGCCAATTCCCAGTTCAGCATCTCCATCACATACAGCAATTTGGCTGCAAATTTGTCATATGCTCCCAAGGTCATCACGTGCCTGGAGAGCCTAAACAAGGATTGCGAAACCAACAGCCCCATCAGAACAACCGCAGAGCACTTCAACATCCTGGGCTGCTCGCTAGCTCCAGCCCCTGTCCCCTTAGCTCCCCCAGTCCCTCAGACACATCGCCTGCCACGATCTCTTCTCTCCCTGCGAGCACGTGGAGCCCAGCCTGGCTCGCATACAGGCAGAGGTGCTCACCACGCTCCCATTTTGCTGGCATCAGCCCAAGTCTCACTGGGACAATGGAACTATTTCTGAGCCCACTGCCCACCCCAGGGTACCACAGCGTAGGGACCCATCCATGCTTCAGGGCACAGTTCAGCTTCCCGACCCAAAGCCCCTTTGTAAGCTGCCACACAGACAAGCTCAGGATGATCAGAACTCTATGGCAATGAGTTGGGGGGTGGCAGGGAGGCTTCTCACTTACCCTAGAGCCACCAATGCAGAGTGACCCCTGTGAGATGGGGTACAGCCCCCACAGAGCCACCAATGCAGAGTGACCCCTGTGAGGTGGGGTACAGCCCCCACAGAGCCACCAATGCAGAGTGACCCCTGTGAGGTGGGGCGGAGCCCCCACAGAGCCACCAATGCAGAGTGACCCCTGTGAGATGGGGTACAGCCCCCACAGAGCCACCAATGCAGAGTGACCCCTGTGAGATGGGGTACAGCCCCCACAGAAACAATCTCATTCTCCATTCAAACTGGAGCCATTTCTATGAAACCCTCTTTTAAGCCTGCATAACATCATTTACTTACCTAGGTACCGAGACAGCAAACAGCACTGACAGTCCCATGAGCAAAGTCTCATCTCTGAATGAGGCTGCAACTCCTCATCAAGCACAGGCAAATGATGAGGATAATCCATCATTTGTCCAACTGTACAGGGTTACAGTCCTTCCTCTGCCACAGAAACGCCACGTGATCCTAACTGATGCTTGCACTCCCATCCTTTTTCCCCTCTCAATGAAAGAGCAGGCTCTCCATTTGCACTGATCCTGGGCATTCCTGACCTGTATATGTTCATACAATACCTCAAAGCCAGCTGCTGAATGTCACTGTAATTTAAGGAAGGAGCAAAGAAAAAACTCAGAGCTGAGGTTGGTTCAAGAGCACACACAGGGCCCTCCCTGAGCTGCTCTCTCCCCTGTCATTACATTCACTGCCACCCCGTTCCCATACGGGTCTCTTCGGGACTGACGCAGGGAGTCATTTCCCCCCTTCCTCAGAGCATCCATCCTGGCGGTGGAGAGGGATCTGAAGATAACCCTCTGGGGTTTCTACCACACAGGAGAGATGCCAGGCGCAGGAGAAGTGACCACGTGCAGGCAGGATCCCCAGCTCCGCACTGGGCACAGGGGAGGATGGGGCAGTGGTTGTTGCTGAAGGCTGGCAGCAGGCAGAGCACTAGCTGCTCCCATCCTGCCTCATCCCCTGAAAAAGCAGGAACAGCAGCAGAGCTGCTCTCTGGAGGCACGGTAAAGTTTCCAGGGATGAGAGGCCAGAGATTTACAAGGGACTTTTTATGTCCCCCTGCAGCTCCCTCGACAAGGCCACCAGGAGATGGGATCTCAGTCAACAGGGAGATGTTTTATGCACGAAGGTGACAGCAGAGAGCCGGGAGGCGAGGAGAGCAGCCGTCTGGCTCGAGGCAGCAGGCTGGCCCAGGGCACCCCACCAGCCTCAGTACAAGAGGAGACACGAGAGGAAGGAGTGAACAGAAGCTGGCGGTGCCCATCGGGACGCTGCTGGTGACAGTCTCTCCCAGCAGAAGGCAGAGCTGCAGCGGGCAGGCTGGTGACACTCTGGGTAGTCCTTCATACATTTACTGAGGCTTCTCAAGGACTCAGTGCGTGAAGGAGTTTCCTGCCCGGCACAGTGTTTCTCCCCCAACACATCCCCACTGCTAATGCCTATTGAAGAGCTAGTGCAGGACTGTAATGGTACCGCGCCAGGGGCCTTCCCTACACTTCAGAGCCCTTCAGGACACAGCTCTGCTAGCCTCCAAGCCACCTGCACTGGCAGGTGACCTGCACCACAAGACACAGACTGCACCTTTTGGAGACCTTTTGGGTGATCACAGGTGGAGGAGGACAGTGGCACCCACAGAGGACTTACCTTACCGCTGTGAGGCAGAGTGGGACCATCCAGGCAGCTCAACAATGGTAAGCCCGTGACAGACCTCAGTAGCTGGGGACTCCAGTTACCTGCCCTTGTGCTAGGTGCTAAACACACTCAAAGGGATAGCGCTTGCCTCAAGAAACAGATGTGAGAAAGAGCAAGCAGAAACGGGAGAAGTGAGGCAGGAAACACTTTGTCCAAGGTGACCCCCCTGAGAAAGTTGGTGAGAGCCCCTCTCTCGGCATGGTGTCACATCTGTTTGGTGACACTGCCCCTGCGTGCGGCTGAGTCTCCATGCTTCTCACTGCAACTCTGACCTGCTTTCCAGCGCTGCCTTTTACAAGTCAGGCTACACCTCAGCCCCTGTCTGCTCCCACCCTGCCCCACCTGATTCACAGATGGCCCCTGCCATCACATGCCGCTTCCGTACAGCTGCCATCCGCTCCGGTTAAACTCACTCTTCATCGGCTTTATAACCCATGACACAAAGGCCCATGACCCGAGCAAACCCTTCACCCAACTACAAGCTGGTAGAAGAGCTATAGGCCATTGGGCACCCCCAAACCACACAGAACATGCGTGTATATGCTGGCATGCAGATGTACATACTGTACGCAGATGTGTAACACCATTGCAGGCACCACTGAGATACACACACATAGGTAAAAAGCAATAGCTGTTTAACAAGACACAGCAACACTATGGGACCATTTAAAAGAGTTAAACAGCTGAGGGTTTTGGTTTTTTTTTTCCTCTAGAAGACTGTCTCCCTCAGCCCTGATTCAACATGGCCTTCAAGCATGTGCTTAAATGAGCCTCTGCCTAGAACATGCTTAAGCATAGGTCTGAAATTCAGCTGGTGAAGCCCGTTTGTAAGCTGAGTCTATTTATAAGAATAGATTTTTGACTCGTGGGCTTGCATCGATTTGAATAGTTTCTTTATTTTTATTAATTTTAGGATAAGCCTAGGTTTATATCAGCTCTGGGGAGTCAATCCTTCTTCAACCACGAGCACAAATAGGCTGAGGAATCTCTGCTTAACCTCCACTAGAAGCACATCTGCTCCAGTAAGCCAAAGTACAGCTCCTGTCTGAGGAAGAGGACTCGCATGAGAGCCAGAGGTTGAGGAGCACAAGGCTTGCTCAACACCACCCATGTCCTCCCTCTGGCCACCACAGTCTTGTCAAAAATCACAGGACGGTCAGCACAAACCACTTCCCCAACGCGGTGACCACTAAAGTCAGTTTTGTCCAAATATTTGAGCTTCCTTTGCTCATTAGGCAGCCACCAGCTATTTAAACTAAAGCTGACAGAGCTATGAGAGGAGATGAGAAGAGAAGCACTGTTTTCCCTCGGATGACAGCACTGCACGCGCTCCATAATGAAGCACAGCAGGCACGGGAACAAGATCTGGCACAGACCTATAAAACCTTTGTACATCCACATGCTGAACTAGACTTTAACAAAGCACTTGGCATGCAGAGCTGCAAAGTGATGAGGCATCAGGTGAGCCAAATGGGAGAAGCTTCCATAGTACATCCAGAGACAGAAATCACTATCAGCTGCTTTGGTGAGCTCCAAGCAAGCAGAGCTACTATCCATTTCCCTGCACGGGAAGAAATGCTGTGCTTCCCCCTCTGTGTTTTTTTTTTTTTTCCTCTGGCTTTACCAAGGCTAGTGCATCTGTTCATCTCCTGGTTTGTAAGAGTGCCCCTCCTGGCATCTGGGGAGATGTTACCCTTGGGGGAAAGAGAGGAAAAACGATGGTCCCAGTGGTATTAGAAGAGACCTCTGGAACAGGACCTGCTGGGAGAAGGCCGTTCCCTGGAAGTGGTGCAGCGGTCTTGTGGGGACATGCTGGGTCAGCAGCCCATGGAAAGGGACCATCTCTGCATTGCACAGCCCGTGACTCACCTGTTCCATTGAGGCCTGTTCCCATCCCACATCCAAAACCAACACCACACTGACCTGTGGGGCTTAACCCGTCCCCACCCAGCTCCCAGAAGCATACCAGTCAGCCATTGGGATCCCCAGCACAGTTGCCACGCCAGCAGAGCCGACAGCCTCCACTGGGTTTTTCTATTTACCTTCCCTGTGCTTTGACAGGGTGCAGCCTTCAGAGCAGGAGCCAAAAAACCCCCAGCTGTTACAGATCCTGCCACTGACTCCTGCCATAGTAAGTAGCTTCCCATTTTTCAGTGCCTCAGTTTCCCTGTATTGAGGCTGACAAATCATCCGCTTTTGGAAAGAATGCTGAGGCAACCCCAACAGCGAGTCCCATCCAAGCTGGTTCATCTGGATTTTCCACCCAGGCACAGAAGACAGACCCAGGAAGGCTTTCTCACCAAGCTTGGGGCACATGAGAGACAGGTGCCCTCAGCTGCTCCTCCCCTGCTCCACCGCATTTCATCCCTTCAGTTCTGCTAATATACATTTCCATCAGGCGCTCAGCAGCTTTCAGAGTCTGGAGGAAACAAGGTTGATTTGACATCCCAAAGGAGTTTGCAAGTAATTTTCTCATCCACTGAGCATGATTATCCAGCACCTTTGGAAAGTTAGCAGCACATGATAATGACTCTCTTCTGCCAGCTGTTCTTCAGGTCATTATGAAGTGCTTTGGGAGAAGCCTCCCTCTAAAGGATGCTCTAGCCCCAACATTGGCTCCTGTGAGGAATCCAAGCGACCACCATAGTGGAGCATTTGCCATAAATTCCTTAACACCATCTTGGTCCTGACAATTTTTATTGCTACAGTGCTGGAATACAGAGTAGATTTAATGGGGCCATTTATGCCTGCTACTAAGGTAATGAGGTGCAGCCTACTGCTGCACTACCACTGCACCAGGATCTTACCACCTGCTTTACAGTCGAAGCAAGGCTAGGCCTGGGTAAGCCAGAGGGCTGCAGAGTGCTTCACACAGCACCGCTCCTCTCCAATTCAGTATGCAGCTGTAGCTGGGTGCTAGAGTACCCAAGGAAACAACTTCAGAATAAGAATTGAGGTAGAAGTCTTGCCCCTAATAAAAGAAAGTGCTTTGAGTGTAGAGGTGCTGCAAAAATGGAAATCATTAATAGCCATCCAAGGAGGCAAGAGCAAAGGCTAACGGGCTGAGCTGGAGAGGCAATGGGAGTCTCTGCAAGCCCTTGGGGACACACCAGTGCTCGGGGACAATGACAACTGCACTACAAACAGGCGACTCAGCAGCTCAGGTGGGATGGAAGGTTTTCAAGCCAAGGATGCAGCAACAAAGCCATTCATCACAGGGAGAGGAGGTGGTCAACGTCAGGGCATAGGAAAACACAACAGCCACTGCTGCTCACCAGAGCGAGCTCTGCTTGCCTTAGCCCCCTCCTCAGTGTCGTGGTTTAACCTCAGTTGGCAACTGAGCACCACGCAGCCGCTCGCTCACTTCCCCACCCCCACCCCCCCGGTGGGATGGGGGAGAGAATTGGAAGAGCACAAGTGAGAAAAACTCATGGGTTGAGATAAACACAGTTTAATAATTGAAATAAAATAATAATATTATAATAATACACAAAGCAAGCGATGCATGATGCAATTGCTCACCGCCCGCCGACTGATGCCCAGCCAGTCCCCGAGCAGCAGCCCCCCCGGCCAGTTTGGGTCAGCTGTCCCAGCTGTGCCCCTTCCCAGCTTCTTGTGCACCCCCAGCCTTCTCAGTCGGTAGAGCATGAGAAGCTGAAAAGTCCTTGACTAGTGTAAGCACTGCTCAGCAACAACTAAAACATCGGTGTGTTATCAACATTATTCTCATGCTAAATCCAAAACACAGCACTGTACCAGCTACTAGGAAGGAAATTAACTCTATCGCTGCCGAAACCAGGACACTTGGCAAGAGCAGAGAGCCTTGTTCTCCAGGGACGCGGTGTGGAGAGGAGTCCTGGCATCCCCTGGGAGCAGCCTGGGCAGACTTTGTGCTGATGGATAGAGCCCAGGTACAGCCTCTGGCTGGAGCTCTGCACTGCCAGGACCATTGGGCTTTACTTCCCTCTCCCATCAGGGGTTGCTGGCTCTGCTAAGCCAGCTGGGAGCCCCAGGACACGGGTGGAGCCAGTCCTGGATGGGCAGATTCAAACCAGTACCCAAGGGCAGATCC